TTCCACCCCCCCCCCAATTTATTACAATACCATCCTCTATTATAATTCCCTTTCTTTTGATATTTAAGTTGTAACTACATCCCTTAAATCTGCAATTAATGGGCTAACATTGCGGGTGATACCCAACAAAATAGTTATTTGGGCTTCTTGTTGTGCCATGGAATTACCTTCCCTCTCCTTTCCTGCTCCCTCACCCTATATCTGTTATTGATTCTTCCCACCCCCCAGCCTTCCAGAGCAGATTTTCTTTGTGGGGACACTATGGGAAGAGTAGAGGGAGGCGAAATTCTGATTCACGAATGGAACTAAGAGTACTTTGTTGGATGCTGTCCTAGATCTGCATTCAGTTTAACCTGCAACACGGAAAATATGTTGCCTTGGAAACTGAAGGGAAACTGTTGGGTGCTTAAAATAAATTGTCCATGCATGCAGGGCTAACCCAAGGCATTTTGGTATCTGAGGAATAATATCCACAAGAAGTCCCTCCCCAGTTAAAATAGATGACCATTTGCCATTTTCTAATTAACCTGTTAGTTTGGGAACCTAATAGTAAGGCCAGCCCTTGTATACTCAAAAGTATACACCAAGAACTGCTTCAGACATAATACAGTGGTACCTCGGGTTACGTACGCTTCAGGTTATGTACGCTTCAGGTTACAGACTCTGCTAACCGAGAAATAGTGCTTCAGGTTAAGAACTTTGCTTCAGGATGAGAACAGAAATCGTGCTCCGGTGGCAGCAGGAGGCCCCATTAGCTAAAGTAGAGCTTCAGGTTAAGAACAGTTTCAGGTTAAGTACGGACCTCCGGAACGAATTAAGTACTTAACCCGAGGTACCACTGCAGTTAGCATTATGTGAACAGATGTAGATGTACGCTCACAAACTCCTATTCCTTTCCATGGAACAATCCTTTCTTTCCATTTGAGGCAAATTATTCTTCAACATTCAGCTGAATTGGCGCTGTGGGTTAAACCCGAGAGCCTAGGACTTGCCAATCAGAAGGTCGGCGGTTCGAATCCCCGCAATGGGGTGAGCTCCCGTTGCTCGGTCCCTGCTCTTGCCACCTAGCAGTTCAAAAGCACGTCAAAGTGCAAGTAGATAAATAGGTACCACTCCAGCGGGAAGGTAAACGGCGTTTCCATGCGCTGCTCTGGTTCGCCAGAAGCGGCTTAGTCATGCTGGCCACATGACCCGGAAGCTGTACGCTGGCTCCCTCGGCCAATAAAGCGAGATGAGCGCCGCAACACCAGAGTCGGTCACGACTAGACCTAGCGGTCAGGGGTCCCTTTACCTTTACTTATCAGTCCCGGTTTCAGGTTTGAACAAAGGAAGAAGCGAGATGCTGCCTCCAAGGGCAACAGGAAGTACACAAGTCCAAGGCTCAAGTACATTAATGCAAAACCACAAGTTGGGAGTTATCTCCCCAAGAAAACAATCAAACTCCTCTTAGGTCTTGGACTCATACACTTCCAGTTGCTCTTGGAGGCAGCAATTCACCTCTTCCTAGGAAAAGTGTGAATTGATTTGTGGTTGGAATAGTCTGGTCTAGCAATTTTGGTAATATATTCTCGTTATTGACATCTAGCTTGGGCTGAACTTCATTAAATGTATATACCACCCTTCACCCATATTAAATTTCTATGCCACCTTTCATTTATAGGTCAAAACCAGCACTTTGAATGGGAAAACTGAATTGGCAGCCAGTGCAGTCAAGCCAGGATTGACATTATAGGCTCAAACCATCTTGCCCTGGTGAGCAACCTGGCCACTGAATTCTGCACCAGCTGAAGTTTCTGAGCCATTTTCAGAGGCGGCCCCACATGTAACATGTTGCAGCAATCTCACCTAGAGGTTTTGTTGTTGTTGTTTAGTCGTTTAGTCGTGTCCGACTCTTCGTGACCCCATGGACCAGAGCACGCCAGGCACTCCTGTTTTCCACTGCCTCCTGCAGCTTGGTCAAACTCATGCTGGTAGCTTCCAGAACACTATCCAACCATCTCGTCCTCTGTTGTCCCCTTCTCCTTGTGCCCTTTATCTTTCCCAACATCAGGGTCTTTTCCAGGGAGTCTTCTTTTCTCATGAGGTGGCCAAAGTATTGGAGCCTCAGCTTCACGATCTGTCCTTCCAGTGAGCACTCAGGGCTGATTTCCTTAAGTATGGATAGGTTTGATCTTCTTGCAGTCCATGGGACTCTCAAGAGTCTCCTCCAGCACCATAATTCAAAAGCATCAATTCTTCAGCGATCAGCTTTCTTTATGGTCCAGCTTTCACTTCCATACATCACTACTGGGAAAACCATTTTACTATACGGACCTTTGTTGGCAAGGTGATGTCTCTACTTTTTAAGATGCTGTCTAGGTTTGTCATTGCTTTTCTCCCAAGAAGCAGGCGTCTTTTAATTTTGTGGCTGCTAGAGGTTACTAGAGCATAAAACAATAAGGGTGCAGCTGGGCCACCAACTGAAGCTGATGGAAGGCACTCCTTACCACCAAGGCCACCTGAGCCTCAAGCAACAGTAATGGATCCAGGACCCCCAAGCTGCGTACACCCTCCTTCAGAGGTATGTGTAACCCCATCAAGAGCAGGCCACTTCCCACCCATCCAGTCTAGGGAACCACCCGCTAACCATGAATTGGACTTCACTTTATTGGCTCTCATCCAGTCCATTACTGAGGCAAGACAGCCGTCCAGCACATCTACTGCCACACCTGAATATATAAAGTAGAGCTGTGTGTCATCAGCATATTGCTGACAACACATTTCAAAACTCCGGATGACTTCAGCCTTTCACCCAAGTGTCAGGAGACCTCTTGGCCATTGTCTTCCTCAGCAACACAATTTCGGCAGCACTTAATTGACTTTTTCTTGCTCTGCATTTTATTTTCTCTGGTCACTTGCTGTGCTAGTGAACTAGGTAAAGGTAAAGGGACCCCTGACCATTAGGTCCAGTGGTGGCCGACTCTGGGGTTGTGGCACTCATCTCGCTTTATTGGCCGAGGGAGTCGGCGTACAGCTTCCGGGTCATGTGGCCAGCATGACTAAGCCGCTTCTGGCGAACCAGAGCAACGCACGGAAACCTTACCGTTTACCTTCCCACCACAGCGGTACCTATTTATCTACTTGCCCTTTGACGTGCTTTCGAACTGCCAGGTTGGCAGGAGCAGGGACCAAGGAATGGGAGCTCACCCCATCGCGGGGATTTGAACCGCTGACCTTCTGATCGGAAAGTCCTAGGCTCTGTGGTTTAACCCACAGTGCCACCTGTGTCCCTGTGCTAGTGAACTAGGGGACCTTATTTTCCCCCACCCATGAAGTAAGGGATTTATTGAATCCATATTGATTTGATGTTGTGCAGATATGTTGACAGAGAAGGAAGTGAACCCTTTGGAGAAAGAGAATTGCCTCTAATCCTTTGCTGGTTGTTTGGAAAGCCTTACCACTTTCAGTTTTCTTGACTGTCTCCTCATCTTGGCCCAGATGACTGTTCCAACTTCGCTAACATTTAGGGTGCATATTTGCCAAGTCTCCTCCCGTCATCTCGCAGATTGAATTAATTTGTTTTGAAATCAATTTCAGTATTTTCTCTATTTACATATTGTGTGTGGCACAGACACTCAAATGGCATGTGTTTCATACTCAGAAGGAATATGTCAGTTAGATCCTCTGTATCTTTAAGAAGACTGTATGGGATTGAAATTCTGCTCCATTGCCTCCTTTATGGGGATCCTAATAAAGTGGTACTGGGACATGGGTGGCGCTGTGGGTTAAACCACAGAGCCTAGGGCTTGCCGATCAGAAGGTCGGCGGTTCGAATCCCCGCAACGGGGTGAGCTCCCGTTGTTCAGTCCCTGCTCCTGCCAACCTAGCAGTTCGAAAGCACGTCAAAGTGCAAGTAGATAAATAGGTACCACTCTGGCGGGAAGGTAAACGGCATTTCTGTGTGCTGCTCTGGTTTGCCAGAAGCGGCTTAGTCATGCTGGCCACATGACCCGGAAGCTGTACGCCGGCTCTCTCGGCCAATAAAGCGAGACGAGCACCGCGACCCCAGAGTCGGCAACGACTGGACCTAATGGTCAGGGGTCCCTTTACCTTTAATAAAGTGGTACCTTGGGTTACATACACTTCAAGTTACAGACGCTTCAGGTTACAGACTCCGCTAACCCAGAAACAGTACCTCGGGTTAAGAACTTTGCTTCAGGATGAGAACAGAAATCGTGCTTCAGTGGCACGGCGGCGGCAGCAGGCCCCATTAGCTAAAGTGGTGCTTCAGGTTAAGGACACTTTCAGGTTAAGAACGGACCTCCAGAACGAATTAAGTTCTTAACCCGAAGTACCACTATATTTGATCCAGAGAGAAGTTTGAAACGTGCACTACAATTATAGGAAAAGCTAAACATCTTTTTCACCCATCTATTAGAAGCATAATGCCCTGGTAATACCTTTTCTACTAAATTCCAGTCTAATTAACAAATCTGTTCCCGTTATTCACAGTTGCTTACCTCATCCAAGAATGGAAGATTCTATAAAATACAACAGGCCGAGACATTTTTGGGTATAGAAAGACAGAATGCTTTACTTACCCTCCTGTCAAATATACACGTAAGTAATTATGGCAATATTCACATTATCTGCCCATTTCCATTTCTCATTATCAGGCCCAAACTTCAAATTCTGAAACATGACATATTTCTGTCAATTAAATCTGAATGGCTCCATAAACAAATGAGGAATCTGAGCCAATTACTTCCCTCGAAATCCATATAGGAGAGTGCATATGACTATTTAAAACTTGATTGATCATAATAGGCCTATTAATTTCAATAATGTTTTGGGGGAAAAAAACCAAGGGGTCCTGAACAAGCTATAAAACTCTGACCTATTTTTAAAAAGCTTTTTATACATTTATTGTATATACAAAAAAGATGTTTTATTATATAGTACTACTACATGATGTTTTTAAATAGCACACAACTATACTTCACTATCATTGCCTGCTTACATTACAGAAACATATTGCATTTGCCATGGGAAAACCTAGTGCCCAAGTCTCTAGATTTCTTTAGGAGAGCTCTCTTTTGCGCTTCATCAAAGCGATGGACCTGGAGATCTTGGTCACGGTCAAATGGTCGCCTCTCCTGGGGCTTCTTCTCCTCAGCAGCTTTGCTCTTCAGTTTTTTCTGATGCAAATCCATAAGAGATTCAGATCTCTGGGAGTCCTTGATAAGAAGAAGAAAAAACAACTCAGCTGGAAACGATTACAATAATTATTCAGGCTGAAGAAAAGTAGAGATAAGAATGGAGACCTTTTAACAAAGGGCTGCAATCCTACACTCGCTCACCTAGGAGGATGTCCCTGTGAACTGAGGCTTACTCCTGAGTAGACATGTATAGGACACCATTGCACTTATAAATTTTTAAAAGTAGAACCAAAGGAAATAAGTACCAAGAATCCAAATGAACGTCAGGTTAATCCTTCCTTTGCCATTTCTTCCATTCCAATTTCAAGATCACCCTTTAAAGAAGTTGTATTTTTACAAGCTGTTTGATAAGGATTTCTAACAAACCTCTAAGGGCCACACAAGGATAAAAGATCATTGAGGGTCCTTCTCTACCTATTTATAAATGGCATTTCTATGCCACCTCATAATCAAAGTTGTATTAGATATATTCCCATTGAAAGAAACGTCCCTAAAGAAAAAAAGGAAGAGGGGAAACGTGAAATGATACATACATTGTATGAAGACAACTGCTCAACCAGTCTTTTGTCTTTCTCGGACAGGAGAACTTCTGCATCATCCTTCCTGATGGACTTTTTCGCATCTGGCGCTTCCTGACAAATAAACAACGGGTTAGCAGGCACCAAAGGCAATCTATACTTAAATCGATCTGTCTGGAGCACAAATCTGCTTCTTAATGCAAGGAAATTACCAGCCGTGCTTTTCAGGCATGTTCACTGTATAAGTGCAGAGCACCCAATCTAGATTAACAGGTTGGGATACTTCTCCCATTTAAAACTCTCAGACTGCTGCAAGCCCCAGCTCTCTCGTTTCAGAATAAGGGGGTGCCAAGGTTCCATTTTCTATTCATACTTCAGGAGGCAAGAAGCCTTGCTCATCATAGGGCCGCTGGCATTTTTCTTATCTCTGATGTTGCTTTTTCTGTTACGCTTGTTTACCCCACACCCTTTCACGTAATACTATACTGGAGTGTCATCTAGAGTGCAAATGCTCACACTGCAATTCTCCCTAGTCCATCAATCCTCCTCGCTCCTTCTGCAATCCTGGAAAGGCTGCCGGGTTTCTGGCTCACCACTGGGCTTATTTAGCCCAGACAAATGACTCATGTTCAGCCTCTGTCCCTCCTCCTTTCCTCCATTCCTCCATTCCGCTCTCTCCAGCCTCTGTAGCTTAAAGAACAGCTAGGAGTGTGGCAATGTCAAGACACCCGGCTGCTACTGTTCCGTGCCGCTTCCAGACCAACTTTGTTTACATCTGGTCAGGCTGGCAAAGAAGCAGAGTGGACACACCACATTGGACTCCCCACATAGCACTGAGAACAAAGCACAGGACTCTTGGGGGCATGTTCTGTGAGAGCAGCCATGTTACAGTTGCATCTCGTAGCAAATGCGACCCAAGCCGAGGACTTATTTCACAACAGCTACCGTGGTACCGTGGGTAAGGCAAGCAGGGCAAAACTTGTTGTTGTTTAGTCGTTTAGTCGTGTCCGACTCTTCGTGACCCCCTGGACCAGAGCACACCAGGCACTTCTGTCTTCCACTGCCTCCTGCAGTTTGGTCAAACTCATGCTGGTAGCTTCGAGAACATTATCCAACCATCTCGTCCTCTGCCATCCCCTTCTCCTTGTGCCCTCCCACCTTTCCCAACATCTCCATTTCTTCCACTTCTATTTGCCAGGAGGTGATGGGACCAGTGGCCATGATCTTCGTTTTTTGATGTTGAGCTTCAGACCATATTTTGTGCTCTCCTCTTTCACCCTCAATAAAGGGTTCCTTAATTCCTCCTCACTTTCTGCCATCAAGGTTGTGTCATCTGCCTATCTGAGGTTGTTGATATTTCTTCCAGCAATCTTAATTCCGGCTAGGGATTCATCCAGCTCAGCCTTTCGCAGGGGCAAAACTGGATGTGTCTAAAAGCAAGACAAAATCCTTCTACTGCAACCCAGCCGCCTTTCCTGTCCCTCAAAAGCCCCTTGCTTGGCTTCCCCCTGTACTGAAACTGCACTGCTAATAGCAGCTGCTACCTCGGCAATGCTGGCAAGACCAGCATCCGAGGCCCTGAGCCTAATTAAATGTTCTGCTTTACGAAGCAGAATGGTTCCAAAGCAATATGCACATGCAGCTCCTCCAACTGCACAGCTGTCTCTTTGTGACTAAAGATGCCCTCACACAAGCAAAGAGTCCCATGTGTACACCAGAGTGGTGTGTATATAGGAGGACATGTGGGCAAACAAAGGCTTACCTGGGCTTTCTTTTCTTTGTCGGCCGGGGTATCAGTCCAAATGGATCTATCTCCCGATTTCTCATCAGCTCTTCTTTTGAATGTCCGTGGACCGAGTCCAAAGCTTTTGAGTTCTGGTGGTAGATCCGTCATCCAAGATTCTCTTTTAGCTTGTTTGGGTCCATCCTTTAAACAGTAGACCAACAAAATTAGAAGCACGCCTAAAGCTGACAAGGCTTAAAAATAAAACAATCAGGAATTAAACTCACATCTTTACCGAGAAGTTTATCTTTCATTCTCTGAGCTCGACATTCAATCTCTCTAGTTGTGTTGGATTCTACTGGTCCTTTGGCAGGCATTGGGCCAATCATGTCTTCCTCCTCTTCGCTGCTATCCGTAGTCTTTATTACAACATGAAATACAAATGAATTCCATCAACCCTGTATTTCTCAAAATAAACATACTTATTTTGTATCTTGTTCGTCTACTTAATACATTCCTTACATCTCTCACTTACCATGTATTTTGCCTAAGGCCAATGTAACACTCTTTACCAGAAACCAAGATGTGGCAAAATGATGAATTACTCTAAGTAGCTCAATTTGCGTATTTGTTTAAAAACCAAATGTATGGGTTTTAGCTAAATCTTCTTCGTTATTATTATTTTAATGAAAAGTGTTGCACAAGTGAAAGGAATAAAGAATATACCAGCAGACAAACCTGTTTACAAGGTATGAGGGAATTTTAGGCAGCTGCTGTGGAAAACACAATATCTGCTTTGAATTCTGGAGAAGACATAGTTTCCTTTCTGCAATCGTAAGGAACAGAAATTTCATCTTTAAACATTTGAAGCTATGCTTCTCCTGACTCCCCAGTCATCTCTGGGCCTACAGCAGGGGTGCCCAACCTTTTTTCAAAGAGGGCGAGATTTGAATAAGTGAACATGTGTGTGCGCCAACGGAGGTTGTTGAGCTTTTTTTACAATTTTACACCAAAGTTGTGGAGTTTTTTTTAGGGTTCAAGTTGCTGAGCTCTTTTACAGTGGTACCTCGGGTTAAGAACTTACTTTTTTCTGGAGGTCCATTCTTAACCTGAAACTGTTCTTAACCTGAGGTACCACTTTAGCTAATGGGGTCTCCCGCTGCTGCCGTGCCACTGCCGTGCGATTTCTGTTCTCATCCTGAAGCAAAGTTCTTAACCCGAGGTACTACTTCCGGGTTAGTGGAATCTGTAACATCACTAGAGCTTAGTGACCCACTGTGTAGGAGCAAAATCCTTGTCTCAAAGCATTGCAATGGTTTTTCCACAGGGCAGGTTAAAGACACACTTCCTTCTTGCTACCCTCCAGGGTCACAGAGCACTACTCAGCAGAAACACCAATCCTTTCAGAACAGGGTGTTTGAATCTTGCTATTTATTTTCTTAAACAGTTTTATATTTCATTATTTCACTGTGTATTACTTTGAAGATGTTGTAGAGTGGTAAATTTAAGTATAGTTTTATACACTGAGGTCCAGCGCCGAGGGCCTTCTGGCGCTTCCCTCACTCCGAGAAGTGAGGTTACAGGGAACCAGGCAGAGGGCCTTCTTGGTGGTGGCGCCCGCCCTGTGGAATGCCCTCCCGTCAGATGTCAAGGAAATAAACAACTATCTGACTTTTAGGAGATATCTGAAGGCAGCCCTGTTTAGGGAAGTGTTTTATGTGTGATGTTTTATTGTGTTTTTAATATTCTGTTGGAAGCTGCCCAGAGTGGCAGGGGAGGCCCAGCCAGACGGGTGAGGTGAAATAAATAAATAAATAAATAAATAAATAGATAGGTAGGTAGGTAGGTAAAGGTAAAGGGACCCCTGACCATTAGGTCCAGTCGTGACCGACTCTGGGGTTGCGGCGCTCATCTCGCTTTAAAACCTACCAAACAGAATTGCACACACACTCTTTAAAAGTTATCCAAGTTTACAAACTCCACAGATCTTTCTTGAAGTACAGCTACCCATAGCAAAACCCCAAACACGGTTCTTCTCCAGGCTGATATTGCTCTGCCTGTATGTAGCGTTCTGACAACCAAGGTGTGAAGCAAGAATCTCTTGCCCCCACCATTCCTCTAAGTCATGCTGTGACGTATCTTCCTCTAGGTTTCTTGAATGAAAGAAGGGTGCTTAAGATGTCTACCTATGCCACCACAGCTCCTCATCAGTCAGAAAGTGTGTGGGGTCGCTCCCTCAAAAGACAGGGGAGAGGCTTTAAATAGCTAAGTTGCTCTTGCATCAGAATCCACACTGGGTCTTGCATACCACTGGGAAGCTGAACATTCTCACTGCCTACTCATAGACTAGAAGTATTACATTGCAGTGGAAAGGCGAAGATTAGCCAGTTTTAGAGCCACAGTGCTCTGGTTTATTTTGTATTTTGTTTTAACCTTTTGGGCGCTGTGGGTTAAACCACAGAGCCTAGGACTTGCCGATCAGAAGGTCGGAGGTTCAAATCCCCGCAATGGGGTGAGCTCCCGTCGCTCGGTCCCAGCTCCTGCCAACCTAGTAGTTCAAAAGCACGTCAAAGTGCAAGTAGATAAATAGGTACCGCTCCAGCGGGAAGGTAAACGGCGTTTCCGTGCGCAGCTCTGGTTCGCCAGAAGCAGCTTAGTCATGCTGGCCACATGACCCAGAAGCTGTCTGCGGACAAATGCCGGCTCCCTTAGCCAATAAAGCGAGATGAGCGCCGCAACCCCAGAGTCGGTCACGACTGGACCTAATGGTCAGGGGTCCCTTTACCTTTACCTTACCTTTGCCTGCTTTCCCCCTAACTTTTATTTCTAATATGGTTTCATAATTTGACCACAGGTGTGTGTGCGCGCACTTGCCAACCTCGGGATTCCAGAATTTCCATGTGCCTAGACAGTTCTTGGAGTTCTTGCTACTGAAAGTTTAGGTTCTGAGTGGTAAGAGATTGACATGTTCTTCTGAGATCTGGGAGGGATTTGGGGAGCGTAAGCTGCCTTTGCACTCTGGGTAACACAGGGTGTGTTGGTCTCAGAGTTCCTGATCTTCATCCTTTACTTGGGTGGGAAGGAAAAGCACACACCAGTCATGAGCTGGGCTCAGGGGGGAGCAGTGCTCTATTGCAGTCTGTGCTGCAAAGTAAGTAAGGGAAAGGAATAACATCCATTTTCTTCTTTATAAAGCCATGATATAATCTGAATGGAACTAGAGACAACTATCTTTCTTACCATATACCGTATTTTTTGCTCCATAAGACTCACTTTTTCCCTCCTAAAAAGTAAGGGGAAATGTGTGTGTGTCTTATGGAGCGAATGCAGGCTGCGCAGCTATCCCAGAAGCCAGAACAGCAAGAGGGATTGCTGCTTTCACTGCACAGCGATCCCTCTTGCTGTTCTGGCTTCTGAGATTCAGAATTTTTTCCCCCTTGTTTTCCTCCTCCAAAAACTAGGTGCGTCTTGTGGTCTGGTGCGTCTTATAGAGCGAAAAATATTTTCATCTGCCACATATTTTCGTTTCCAGGAAATTTTACATTTAAGAGAATGAAGAACCTGTGGCATCTTAAAGCTTGTGAAACTTCTATTTTACCTGCTCCTTTGTGTTTCAAATTTTGTGTATATAACTTTACTCAACAAGCAAGGCATTTGCAAATCAAAGTGTTACAGAGTTAACATATATGTAACCTTGTCAGATGAATAAATGGGGGTTAGGTTTTGAGTGTGTACGTATATGCGTGTGTGTGTGTGTGTGTGTGTGTGTGTGTCTGTGTGTGCATTGTTCCAAACATACTCCACAAATAAAAAGCAGGATCTGTTGTTTCAGGATTATTGTTTCTACACACCTGGGTTGCATAATATATGTTTTCTTCAGCAGCTTCTGATGGTTTCTTAAAGCCAGGTGGTAAGGCAGGACCTATAACAGGCCTCGTGAAGAGGGAAAAAATCATTTTACATTTTAATTTAAAGTCATATTCCAAAGCAGAGAAATAATGAAAGTTGCTACAATGTACAAAGTACACTTAATAATGGTCCTAAAAACATTTTCTCTTCTGATTTTGGCGTTATCAACAAAGAGCTTGTGGTGGCAAGCGCTACTCACTCAGAGTCTTTACGATTCCAAATTCCTCCTATCCATTTGACACAACTATTCTCTGCAATTCTGATAGCAATCTATAAATATTTGAAAGGCTAGAATGATGAGAGTAACTTGAGAGTAATTTGGACCCTGTTGTTCCAGAGAGCAGGACTCAAACCAATGGGTTCAAATTGTTAAAGAGGGGGGGATTTCAAGTAAACCATAGGAAAAACTTCCCGATAGCACAAGATATTCAACAATGGAACAAACTACTTTCAAAGGTGGTGGTCCCTTCTTTGCAGAAAGTTTGAAAGAGGACGCTGGACGGCCACCTGTCAGGGAGGGTGCAGCCATGAAATTTCTGCATCACCAAGTTGGATGAGATTACCTTTGAAGACCTTTCCAATGGCAAGTCTGTTTCCTGACAAGCCATTTCCTGGAGTAACCAATCTCAAGTCTGTTTTCAGCACTTTAGTTGCTGATTGGGGTGTTGTTGTTGTTTTACATACAGAAACACAGAGGTCATAAAGCGTTCTGCTAACTCACTAAAGTCTGATTCTGAACAGGAAGAGCAAACTGTCTTTCAGGCACTGTGGATTCTTGGGGGGATATTTACCTTTCTGGGGATTCATCTGGTTTTTTAAAGCCAGGAGGAAGAGCGGGTCCAAAGAATCCATCATCGTCATCTTCCTGATAGCGTCTGTGTTTTCTGCAAATATAATGAAAGCACTTAATTTACTAAAATGTGAACAGTAATTACCTACACTTTGAAAAGAAAAGCCTGAAATTATTTCAAGAACTGCATCTCATATCCTGTATGTGTCCTCTGTGTCCATGGTAACAGCACTGGAAAGCTATTAGTTCAGAGCAACTTTGATAATATAAATGGCTCGCCTATATAGTAAGCCATACTCCCAAGTGAACAGCAGAGTTACATCAGTGTAAAAGTATGTGGTCCAAACCACTGAGCCTCTTGGGCTTGCTGATTGGAAGGTTGGCGGTTTGAAACTGTGCAACAGGGTGAGCTCCTGTTGCTCTGTCACAGCTCCTGCCAACCTAGCAGTTCGAAAGCATGCCAGTGCAAGTAGATAAATAGGTATATCTACGACGGGAAGGTAAACAGCGTTTCCATGCGCTCTGATTTATGTCACAGTGTCCCATTGCGCCAGAAGCAGTTTAGTCATGCTGGCCACATGACCTGGAAGCTGTCTGTGGACAAACGCCGGCTCCCTCAGCTTTAAAGCGCGATGAGCGCCGTACCCCATAGTCACCTTTGACTGGACTTAATCGTCCAGGGGTCCTTTACCTTTTACATCAGTGTGCATGAATTCAACAAACTTTGGCAGTCCAGCATAAATGCAAAGGCAAATTGCCACCCACCACCCTAGCTGAGGGGAGTCTGGAAATGACTGGGAAAGGAACAAGATCTGACTGCTTTCAATGCCTCTCTGAGACTCTCTTTAACCTTCTCTAGAACGGTGGGGGTTCTTAGCAGATTAAAAATTTCATTTGCCAATGGTGAGCATATCCATGATGTCCTGCATATCCGTATTAATTTTAAAACTTATATGCTTCGATCGGTATATACATTTTTCTGTGCCTTAATAAAACAAAAGTTTTTTCAATTTTAATACTACTGTATTTTTTGCTCTATAGGACGCACTTTTCCCCCTCCAAAAATGAAGGGGAAATGTGTGTGCGTCCTATGGAGCGAATGCAGGCTCCTTGGCTTCAGCGATAGCAACATGAATGCCACAGCTGTGAGGCATTCGCGAGCTTTTTTGCGGAGAAAGTCCTGTTGCTCCACCGTGAGTTCCCGCTGCACTTCGAAGGCTATCCCTGAAGCCTGTGGAGCGCAGCGGGAACTCGTGCTGCGCTCCAAAGACTTCAGGTTCCTTTTGCTAAAGCCGGGAGAGCTTCAGGTTCCTTTTGCTAAAGCCGGGAGAGCTGCGCAGTGCCCCTTCAGCAAAGCGGGAGGAGAAATGGAAGGGGCTCCGTTTCTCCTGCCGCTTCGCTGAAGGGGCGCTGAGCAGAGGGGGTTATATATATTTTTTTATTGTTCCCCCTCTAAAACAAGGGGCGTCCTATGGTCGGGTGCGTCCTATACAGCGAAAAATATGGTAAATAAAATCATTTATGTAACAGACCATCATGGCTGCGAGACCTGCTCTATGCCTTGCAAGCCTTTTTCCACCTGGCCTGGGAGGACAGGGCAGGGCCCTGACTGACTCCAACTACAAAAGCTGAGGCTGCTGAAAAGACCAGACCACCTTGGCTGTCAGTGCAGACCCTGGTCATCAAGCCTGAGCTCCTACAGCCACTGCTCACCATGAAGCACCATTGGCAGGATTGGTCCTCAACAGTATCAGATATGTTTATGATTTTTTATTAATAATATTATTATTATATTGATAATTTTAAATAGCTTTAAATTTGCATTTCATACTTGTCTTCCTTTAGTAAATTTTTTTGAAATGTTTAAGATAACTTTTTTCTGTTACTTTGCTGTGTTAAATGTGCATTCTGTAGTTGACCTCCTTTGTAATGTTTTATTTTGAAACCTTTAAGATGATATTTTAGTTTCCTGTTAATTATGTTGCTTTGAATATATACTTTTGACTTTCTTCAGTAATGTTTTATTCTGAATTGTTTTACTTTATGATTTATTATAGCCTTAATGCCTTAGATTGTGACCAGCCCCCAAAGATTCTCTTATTTAACTATCATACAATGAAGAAGCTGTAGGAAATCTGTAACTTTTTTTGAGAAGCGCAGTTTTAAACAAAACAAGTAAATCCTCCATAGCTTTTGCCTGCCAAAGGTTCAGAAGTTGAAAAAAGAAGTTGCGACACACCGTTACCACCTAATACAGAGCTTTCCAAACTGTGTGTTGCGACACGTTTGTGTGTCAGCTGCAATGTGTAGGTGTGTTACACGAACGCTCCCCGCGCTCCTCCTGGGACTGGAAAGGGACTGGTTTAATTGCCGGTTTGCTAGTAAAACTGAATTACTATGTTGTGAAATGATGCATGTTTGAAAAGCGTGTCACTAACATGAAAAAGTTTGGAAAGCTCTGATCTAATGCCGTGATTGCATGATGGTTGTACGTCTGTCCAATGATTGCGATATGTTAAATGATTGTGTTAATGTTCACTCGAGCCCCAAAAAGCTGGGAAATTACAGCTCTTTATGGCCATGGTTCAATACAAGGCAATTTCCTATATTCACACTAATGCACTAACCTGGGCGTTGGACTTGAATCTTTGTCATCTTCAGAATCCCATACTGTTCCTCCCGGTGCAGGAGGAGAAGTGCATTTTTTGTCACAACCATGTATTTCGGAACTACTATAGTAGTCTGGTGGCAACGCTGGCCCTACAACTAAACAGTTAACAGTTTTTCATTTACATTTAGGCTAAACTATCCAAATTATATATTTGATAGCTAACAATTGTTTTGAAATACATCACTGATACAAAACTGAATGTCTAGACGGAATATAGATAAGCATCTCAAATATTGTGGCGATTAAATTTCTTAACACAGTTGAACAGGATAAGCATTTTCAATTAAATAATGGCTCAACAGCAGATCAGGTTGCGCTGCTCATGAGGCAACAGTTAGATGGAAGTACCGTATTTTTCGTCCCATAGGACGCTCCGTCCCATAGGACGCACCTAGTTTTTTGGGGGGGGAAATAAAGGAAAAATTTTCCCCTTTTATTTCCCCCCAAAAACTAGGTCGGGGAACAGCAGGATGGCGGCGCTGCACCTCCCCGCTGTCCCCCGAGCTTGTGGAGCTGGCCGATGTCTGACCGAAGCGCGGGGCACTCTTGCTTCAGCACGCCCCGCGCTCCGTGCAGCAGGCTGCTATCCGCAGCCTAGGGAGCCCTGTGGGAACTCCCGCGGGCTCCCCAGGCTTGCGACTAGCTTCCTGAAGCCTGAGAGGCGAGAGGGTCGGTGCGCCCCGACCCCTCTCGCTCTCCAAGCTTCAGCGAAAGCCTGTATTCGCCCCATAGGACGCACACAGATTTCCCCTTCATTTTTGGAGGGGGAAAAGTGCATCTTATAGGGTGAAAAATACGGTATATTTATTCAAAAGTCCTCATTTATTTTTTATTTATTTTTAAAAAGAGAACTATAGTGCTTATAAGTCAAAATTAAAAATTGGGAGCAACTACATAACGCAACCTGTTCACAAAAGACTTGAGGCAACCAGGAAACGACTGAAAATACTTAATTGCTCTGCAGTTGTGAAAGGAAACATACCTGATAAATTATTAGTCCTACAATTAAGAAAAACATAAATAGCATAGCTACACAGTTAAAGGTGTAACTGAAAATAGTAACAGTTGCCAATATCTTTTGTGATTCCTACAACTTTTACACTTCTGACAGTTCAGCAAAAAATAAGATCAAAGGAAATCTGCAGAAAATTAAATTTCCTCATTTAACTATGGAGAAGATGGAAAACCTTCAAAACCCAACAGCATTATTTCACATAGTGAAAAAGTGTAAGACTCCTGGTATTAATGGTTTACTTCAGAGGATTATAATAAACAATTAAGCATCAAGTAATAATTTGCTAAGCAATGCAAAAATGCATCTTCCTCAAAACCTGGGCTTACAGATTGAAAATAAGAACAGCTAAAAAAAACAAAAAACTGGGGGTGGGGCGGAGGGCAACAACCTTTAACAAAACATTAAACATTGGTAGAATTATTATAGTAATATTGCACTTAGTAGTATTGCATTCGTGATTCTTGGTTTTTTTTAACCTGTAAACTGCCTTGAACCCTGTCAGGAAAAAAGGCGGAGTGTTTATATATATATATACACACACACACACACACACACACACACATATAGTGGTACTTCGGGTTACATACGCTTCAGGTTACAGACTCCGCTAACCCAGAAATACTGCTTCGGGTTAAGAACTTTGCTTCAGGATGAGAACAGAAATCGTGCTCTGGCGGTGCAGCAGCAGCAGGAGGAGGCTCCATTAGCTAAAGTAGTGCTTCAGGTTAAGAAAAGTTTCAGGTTAAGAACAGACCTCCAGAATGAATTAAGTACGTAACCAGAGGTACCACTCTCTCTCTCTACACACACACACACAGACATACGATAATATATATACTTATACGTACATCACACACACACACACATATATAATATTTAAATATTAAATATTTAAATATATACACACACACACAGACATACGATAATATATATACTTATACGTACATCACACACACATACACATATATAATATTTAAATATTAAATATTTAAATATATACTAGAATATATATATTCTTATATATACAAGATACACTAATATACAGTATTCTTATCCAGGTGTTTTGAGACGCCTCGTCCAAGCCAGCCTTCCCCGCTCACTGCGTCTAAAACCTCACAAGAGCCGAAATGCCCTCCTGCCCCGGACCCCTTCCTCACCCGGCCCGAAGTCCCCGCAGGGCTCCGCTCGGTCGGGCTGCGCCGGCAGCGAGGGCCCCGCGGCTCCCCGCAACGCCATGGCAGCACCCGGAAGTGCCTCTCGTTTAGCCGGGCCTCCCTCTCTTGCTCCCTTCCGCCCGGGCTTCTCCGCCCCTCAGGGCCTTCCGCCGCCCACTTCCGGCGCTCGCGGACAGAGTGGGCGGGTCTTCCTCCTTCCTCCTCCTCCTCCCGCCGGCTATTGGCCGCGGTCGCGAGGTGACGTAATTTCCGGTGCGCCGCGCAGCTTCCTCCATGCTGCGCGCCGTTGGAGTTGCTGAGGCGATGGATGCGTCCGTGTGGCGGGTGCCGCCGCCGCCGCCGCCGCCTTTTCCTGACTGGGCCTCGCAAGGCCACTGGCTTCCTTCCCCTCCTCCTCCTCCGGGGCCGTGGCCTCCTCCTTGGTCCCAGCCGCCAGGTGCGTCGCCCTTCGGCCGGCCTCGCACGTGCGGAACTCGCCGCCTCGGGACGGCCTTGCTCCGCTCGGGGCTTTCTTGCGCCCGGCTTCGGGGCAGGGCCTTGCCAGTCGCGGCTTCCCCGCCCGCCTCGTGGAAACTCCGCAGCGTAGCTCTGGATCAGCCAGGATTGCGGAGCGGCGGAGCCCGAGTATAGAGCCGCAATAGTCATCGGATTCATTTCGTCCTTGGCAAATAGGAGAGGGGTGGGTTGGCGTGTGTCCCTCCCCTAGGGCCGGATTTAGGTTTGATAAGGCCCTAAGCTACTGGAGGTAATGGGGTCCTTTATATGTACAGCTGTGCTTTATCAACAACAAATTGTCGCTGGTTTTTTTTGTTGAATTTATGGACCTAATGGATATCTAAAGCCATTTGCACATGTTGCCATGCCACCAGTCCATGCAGCATGTTGTTGTTTAGTCGTGTCCGACTTTTCGTGACCCCCTGGACCAGAGCATGCCAGGCACTCCTGTCTTCCACTGCCTCCCGCAGTTTGGTCAAACTCATGTTAGCAACTTCCAGAACACTGTCCAACCATCTTGTCCTCTGTCTTCTCCTTGTGCCCTCCATCTTTCCCAACATCAGGGTCTTTTCCAGGGAGTCTTCTCTTCCCATGAGGTGGCCAAAGCATTGGAGCCTCAGCTTCAGGATCTGCCCTTCCAGTGAGCACTCAGGGCTGATTTCCTTCAGAATGGAGAGGTTTGATCTTCCTGCAGTCCATGGGACTCTGTAGGCACCCTATATATAGAAATGAGCAAACCAGTGGTATTTTAGGGAGCAGGCTGGCAAGTGGGGCCCATTACTTACATCATAGGAGCCTACGCAACACAAAACACTGTTTTTGTATGTAGGTTTTATTTTATTTGTTTTTTATCTTATATTTTGGAAATGTACATCCATTTTTCCCCTTTGAATTTTTTTTGGGCCCCCAAGAGAGTGGGGCCCTAAGTTATAGCTTGTTTAGCTTATATGTAAATCTGGCACTGCCCCCCCACTTCTTCCTTCATCACCCCACCCCCTTATTTCAGAAGTGAAAAACTCAAATAATAGAAGGGGTGTGTTTAAGCAAAAAGAGAGAGAGAAAACGGCTGGCAGGCATGGCTGCTGTGGGAAGGGAATCGAGGAAGAGTTGGGGGTGTTGCTTTGCTGATGTTGTTTTTTGACATCTATATTCTCAAGTTTTCTTGGTTCCATTTGTGAGTATTCCATTCTTATGTAATGAGCATTGGAAGGCTGCTTTGGAAAGGTCTGGGACCCTCCCCACAATTATATAGGAGGAACTGCTCTTAGAATTATATGTCTACTGCCCCTCCCTCCCTCTTCTCACAGCCCCTCTTCCAAATAATCTACTTTCCCATCTCCAGTCCAATGCAGAATTAAACCATTTCACTGAAACATTTAAATAAGCATCTACGTATAAAAAGCACAGTAAAGCCAAGCGCATTGGACAGTTAGGAGTTAAAACAGCAATTTAAACAATTCGAAATCAGCAGGGCTGCTTTTCATGTTCTAATCTGATTGTACAGTTGACAACTATTTTGCGTGGGTTTAGTTCCTGGCCCCCACATGTCAGCGGAGCGCATATAAGTGCATCCAGCTCTGTTATGCACTTTTCATTATATTTTTGGTTACCTGTGCGCACATGCATGATCACTTGCCTGTTTAAATTCTTCATACTTCATGTTCCAGTTAAATGAAATTCACCACATTGTTATACCACAAGGTTTCTGCCAGTGATGACCCCATGTTTCCCTGGGGGTGCCAGATGCTGGTGTGGGAAGTAATTATGGGGCCTGGTTTCAGATCCATGTGATCAGACTTTTCATATATTAGCACTGGAGCATAAAGCGCAAACATGCCAAATTAGCTTGCTAGTTTTATCACTTGGTTGTAGCAGAAGAATAAAGGTAAAGGGACCCCTGACCATTGGGTCCAGTCGTGGCCGACTCTGGGGTTGTGGCGCTCATCTTGCTTTATTAGCCGAGGGAGCCGGTGTACAGCTTCCGGGTCATGTGGCCAGCATGACTAAGCTGCTTCTGGCGAACCAGAGCAGTGCAAGGAAACGCCGTTTACCTTCCCGCCAGAGCGGTACCTATTTATCTACTTGCACTTTGACGTGCTTTCGAACTGCTAGGTTGGCAGGAGCAGGGCCCGAGCAACGGGAGCTCACCCTGTCGCAGGGATTCGAACCGCCGACCTTCTGATCGGCAAGTCCTAGCTCTGTGGTTTAACCCACAGCGCCACCCGCGTCCCTTGAACAGAAGAATAACATTCAGCAAATGGCCTGGGATAGAAGAGTTCCCTAGGAAGAGGAGTTGTTCAGTCTGAGAACTGTAGCTCTGTGAGGGGCATGGGGAGTCTCCTAACAACTCTCAGCCCCTTTAACAAACTATTGTCACCATGATTCTTTGGGGGAAGCCATGATTGTTTTTAAAGTGGTATGATCCTGCTCTAAATGGGTAATGCAGATGGGACCCTAGTCTGGCAGTTTTAACTATTTAGTTGTGTTTATATGTAATTTTACTTCACACACAAATTGCAGTGTCCTAATGGTTGATGCAAATAAATATCAGTAACTATTTTGATTTTTAATTAAAGGCAGAAATTTCCATTTTGATAGAGAATGGCAAATGGAACAAGCTGGAATGCCACGTGCTGGATCCTGTCAAGGCAGGAATGGCAGACAGAAGGTATTTAATTGTAAATTAGGGTTAATAAATTCTGATGTCAAGCTTTGGACATATTTATTATTTCATATATTTATTATTTATTAAGTTTATATAGCACTCTTCATCCGAAGATCACAGGGCAGCTTAGAGCATAAAAATACAAAATGAAAACACAAATTACTTAATATAATAACAGAAGCAAACAAGAAAAACTATAAACCCTGCTCCCACAAACACATTTAAAAGGCTATAGATTGCTTAATCAGCCAGATGCCTGATCATAGAGGATATGTAATGATGGCACAAGGTGAGTCTCCCTGGGAGGAGCATTCCATAAATGGGGAGCTACCACAGAAAAGGCCTGTTCTTGTGTTGCCACCCTCTTGTGGAGGGGCCACATGAAGAAGGGCTTCAGCTGATGATTGTGTGGTGCAGGTCACTTCATATGAGGAGAGGAGGTCTTTGAGTTATGGCTGTCCTGAGCCATATGAGACTTTGTAGGTAAAAACCAACACTTTGAACGAGGCCCAGAAATTTAATAGGCAGCCTGTGTAGTTGGGCCAGGATTGGTTTTAAAATGTTTGGACCACCTAGCCCTAGTGAGCAACCTGACCGCTGAATTCTGCACCACCTGAAGTTTCCAAACCGTCTTCAGAGGCAGCCCCTCATTTAACATGTCGTATTCTAACCTAGAGGTTACCAGAGCATAGAAAAGAGAAGTTAGATGTATTCAGACATGAGAATATAAATCATGGCTTATTAGAGGAACTAGTTGTATCAAACCTTGGGCTCTTCCATCCCTTCTCTTCCTTTGGCATAACAATAAGGAGATTGCAATAAAAAATGGAAGTGAAAACTAAATTATAAAACAAATTATAGAAGTATAAAACAGCACAAAGTTACAACCATAAACAACTGTGAAAACAATTAAAAACTTCCATATATAAAAAGCAATTCTAATTCTGTTTTAAAAATCACATTGATAAATAGATAAAATAGTTCCATTATAAATGCAGAACAGAAAATTCAAATGGAAAATGTAAGCTGAGCTTTTTAAAAATTTAAATAATATCAACAAGCTCCACAGTAAACATCCACTGCATGTTTGTGTGTGTCCTGCTGCGGACCCTAGGGGTATATGTGGCAAACTTGCTTGCCACATAGAACACAAGTCAGTACTATTCAGTCCACAGCTAACCTGAAATTTGAATCTGGGACATTTAATGCTCCATTCTTTCAGTCACGTCACCGTCATTCTTTTTAGCTATAAAATACTGTGAAACACAATACTTCATCCCAATTGTAAGCATTGTTCTGCAGTGGTTCCAGTCCTATTTGGACGATCATTTCCAGAGGGTAATGTTTGGGTCATGTTGTTCAGCCCCATGGGCCTTTCAATGTGGGGTTCCTTGTGGTTCAGTCTTATCCCCCACAATGCTTAACATCTACATGAAAACATTGAGTGGGGGTCATCCAGAGTTTTGGAGCATGTTGTCAGCAAAATGTTGAAGACACACAGCTCTAGTTCCTCCAATGATAAGCCATGATTTATTGTCATGTCTGAATGCAGTGTCTGTGTCTGTGAGATTAAATGCAGTTTTTAGGTAGGCTCTGCAAATTGACTGACTAGCAATTGGATCTGGCAGATTTAGCACCTGTATCTGATACAATATTTTGCATAAGTGGAATGGCTCCTGACAATTACTGTGTTGGTCAGGATAAATATTATTGTAAGTGATTACAGTTAATGTTTCCCTGCTCTGTTTGCAGAATAGGAAGCGAAAAGAACCAGTTTATACTCATTATTGTGATACATGTGATCGTGGCTTTAAAAACAAGGAGAAATATGAAGAACATGTCTCTCAGCACAGGCAGGTATGTTTTAATAGTTGGGTAGATTTTTCTCTCTTTTGGTTGGCAATTAATTAATAGCATGATTTCTTGAGTTCATTAGTTACCTAGCTTAGCGCTTCTTCAGTTATGCTGTCATGGGATCATGGAATGCTGACATGGATTGTCTCATGCAGCTAGGATTGTTTCATTCAACTGCATGCAATGTCAAAATTTCCTAGGTGTAAATCATTCAAATTGTATAGGGCTGGGAATACCCCTGTCTGTAACCGTGGAAAGTGAAGACAATGCTAAACTAGTCAGTGGCCTGGCTCAATATAAAGCTGCTGTCTGTGTTCCTGAAAGGGTTTAAAGGTGGAAGGAACTTTCAGGTTTCTCTGAAATATACTAAAATTATTCTAATACTCAGTTGCTAGTTATATGGTTGCAAGGTATCATTTGAAAATCTAGAGGGAACACTAGGGTTCAGTTTATCCTAAAATAGTCAGAACTCAGAATAAATGTCTTCCTCTGTGTTGCATAGCCTTAAACAGGTCTAGGGTAAAGCAGCTGTGTCCCTCGCAGGGGTAATAAAGGCCCTTGGTAAAATAAGAAACAATAGGCCAGTGGCATCAACAGCTAAGGAAGCAGATAAGGGAAAGGCAGAGGAAGAAAAATAAAAGTGAGAGGAGAACAAAAACAGGAGGTTCAGCCGCAACTGCAGCTTGTCATTATTGTTGATCCCTTTGCTAATTGGGCATGCAAACACAACCCAGTTCTAAAAGTGGTTGCTACTTTTCTTTCTTTCAGTGTACGGAAGATGGCTGCACTTTTAGTGCACATGAAAAATTGGTTCAGATTCACTGGAAAAATGTAGGTATTTCCCTAGTTCAGCTTGAAATCTGATTTTAAATGAATTGTAGAATTGTTGAACTGCAAGGAAAAGGAAACTATTCTTTTCCATTTTGAACTATAAAATCAATGCTGCTTTGTTAAATTAGACAGTTGTGGTGAGGAGCAGGCCCTTTATGCTAATTGGAATGATCCTCCCATCTACAGTTTTCACTCTGTTTAGCCCTTGGATCAGCTGGTTGGTCTTGTTTGTTCTTAGTAATGCTGTTTTTCAGGGGTTGTGCTGTTGAATTTGGATTTATTTTCATCACTGTTTGTCCCCTTTTTTCTGTTTAGTCTTTCATTAAAAACATAGTTTTTAAAAGACTATAAACACCCGTAATTCACAATGTTCCCCCCCCTTCCCCCTCCGCAGATGCATTCGCCTGGTGCCAAACAAATCAAGTTAGATACTCCGGATGAAATTGCTAAATGGAGGGAGGATAGAAGAAAGTGAGTAGATGTTTAATTTGCGTGGCTCCAGATGAGACTGAAAATGATTCCCCTCCAAAAAAAATCTTACAACTTTCTCTTATTCCTCCCTTTCACCTTCTTTGTCATGGCTGCTGCTGAGCAGTGCTCTGTTCTTCCATCTTAGTTTAGAACGTATTATTGACTCCATCCATTTGATAGTGAGCTATAAAGCTCTGCAAGGCATAACAGAGCTGTGTTCCTTCCTCTCTTGGCTTGGTTGTGCAGGCATCTTTCGAGGTTAGGAATGGGAGGCCTGTGCCCACTCCTGTATTGCTGTCCACCTTTCCCAAATTTCTTGACTTCCTCAAGGGGCTCTCTTATAACCCGTGTGAATCCCTCCACACACATTTGCTATGTTTACAGTAGGACTGGCTCAAGCTCTCTCTATATTTTACTTCATAGCACAGATCCCAAAGTGATGTAGAATAATAAATTAAAAATTGTAGGAGCAAGGCTGGGAGTAAGCTGTTTGTTACCTCTATTTATTTGAGCAGAGGATAATTTCCCAAAGGAAATAAAATATTTAAATATTAACGAATTAATTGAGGGAGGAACTGCATGGGCGTGCATGTGGGGGGAAAACAGCTCCCACATGAAAGGGAACGGTTATTGAAATGCCTGGTTGTCACAGAGAGAGACAAATAAAGTGACTTGAAGGTGAGGCAGTAGCCAAATGTGATCAGTATTAAAAGTAGTGCTTTTTTTAGTGTTCCTGGGAATCTGAATGTATCAAGGGCATCGATGGAGATCCTACCTGGTGAACCCACAGTGAGAGCTATTCCATTTCTGCCACGCAAAAACTTGCTAGTAAAGTGGCTTGCGTGCTCGTTTTTTGTGAAAACTCTTCGGGTATTAAAACAACACCATCTTTACTGCCAAGTTCCCCACAATTCACACATCATGAATAGTTTTCAGGTTACGAGTTTTGAGAACTCTATAGGCTCTTAACTAAGAGGCAACCAATCAGTGTAGCTCAGATAACCAGAAAAATGTAGGGAGCACCAACTGAATTGGCTGTTATAACTTCAGGTCGCAAAGGCAGCTAGAAATGTGTGAATGGGTCACTAAGCTCCCTTACTAGCATAACACCTGCATCCAGTATTGGGGAGCAAAGAGAGCAACCTCTTCCATTACTCATTATTGCAGTCAGATTTCTATGGAGATACACTAGAGTGAAAAATAGTTTGGGGAAAACTCTTGGGTTCAGAAACCCAACAAGCCAGATGGTAAGCTATGCAGAAGCAACCTATCCATACTATATCAGTTTAGGGTCAGAAAATTTGTGCTGAAATCAGCACACAGGTGGCACATACCCTGTTGAAAAGGTACTACATAATGATGAAATGCCGCAAAAATGCTAAAGGGAGTGTAGGGCAAGGGAAACTTTTTTCCGATTTATGGTGTCCTGGTGTGCATTAATGCTGGCTGGATTTGCATGGAATTATTTCAGAAGCAAGGGATTGTACCAGAATATTGCTGTCCGTTGTGGATCCTAAACAAATTCCTCCAGAAGAAAATTAGCTTCAAGGATGCTAGCAATAGTCTGTGACTAAGCACAGGAAAGCAAGGGTGAGCTACTCCATACAGGACTGTGAAATATAGTGTACCATAGGCATATAACTAGGAGGCTAATAACACATGATAGTATCATAAAAATTTGGTATTCCTGTATATCTTTCATATGTTACAGTTCTCTGCAGGCAGAGCAGGTGCTGTGATTCTCCAGCACTTTGACTTTCCCTTTTTAGCCAGCGGGGTATAAATAATAAAATTATTTTTATTATTATTACTTTGAGGCACACTCCTTCGTCTTTCGAGATAGATGGATACTGACAACCAAATTAAGGTGTGCAAGTGAATGGACCAGCAGTTATACTGAGAAATATTTGCTGTATCGCATGTGATGCATGTGGTTTTCTACAACGGGTTGAGAACAAGGAATGCCATTGTATTTATTGTAAAAAGAATTGCAGTAAAATTATATGTAAAATAACAACCGCAGAACAACTTATGATGCAGGTGCTACAAAACCACGCTCTGGCCACAGGCAGGGAGACATCCCAGGCCCTACAACAGTTGAAAACAGCAGCTAGCCAGCCCCAGCTTTCTCCAGGCAGGAGAAAGGGGTGTCTGTGGCACTAATAGTAATAGCAGTAATAGCATATCTGTTGTGTGCTGGGCTCTTACGGGTGTCAGGGCCTGGAGGAGTCGCACTCCCATTCTTCCGCTCCCTAGGTGATGGCCTAGGCTAGGAACACACCAGCCTTTAGCCATGGAAGACAAGTGATTTGCCTGCCAGCCCACAGTGTTGAAAGCACTGGATCTTCCCAGCCCCCAATTCTTGCTAGGAATGTTGCAATTAAGGCTTGCAAAACACTTCAGTGCCATAGATGTATTAATAAGACTTCATATGTACGTTACTCTAGAAATTTTCCTACTTTGGCAAATATTGAAAAGAAGAAAGCAATGGAGGTGGAAAAGGAGCAAAGAGGAGGAATACTGAAAACACTTCAATTTGGGTAAGAGAGTGTGTGTGTGTGTGTGTGTGTGTGTGTGTGTGTGTGTGTATCTATATATAGCTATAGATATATATCTATATGTTGTTGGTACCATCAAAGATGGGCTATTTCTCTTTCCTTATCATTTATTAAAGATTAATTCATTTTCTCTAATATGTTCAGAAGAGTGTAGATGAGATTTCCAGAAAGTCTGCACCCAGGAATTAGTCCAGTCCCAGCCTGGTACATATCTAATTATATTGAGCACTTTCAATTCAATCTCTGGTCTAGATGTGTGCAGTGACCAAGCTTGCCTAAGTGTGGGATTAGCCATCGCCACCGGCATTTGTGCAATTGCTAAGTTTATACCAGCAGACCTATAAAATTAGGCTTCTACTGATTTTATCACAAGGCATAGCAGCTTATCTTTCCTTCCCTCCTCGTTCCTCGGCAGTTGTTAGTAGCAGCTCCCACATGATTGTCCCTCCATCCTTCTCCCATGGTTCTTCTGCAAATACAACCTTCACGTTCCAGTCACTTGCTCAGCCCTTCTGACATCCATTTCAATTTTCATTCTACAACCTCTCTGACAGTATGGTAAAGGTAAAGGTGACCCCTGACCATTAGGTCCAGTCATGGCCGACTCTGGGGTTGCGGCGCTCATCTTGCTTTACTGGCCGAGGGAGCCGGCGTACAGCTTCCAGGTCATGTGGCCAGCATGACTAAGCTGCTTCTGGTGAACCAGAGCAGCGCATGGAAACACCGTTTACCTTCCCGCTGGAGTGGTACCTATTTATCTACTTGCACTTTGACGTGCTTTCGAACTGCTAGGTTGGCAGAAGCAGGGACCGAGCAATGGGAGCTCACCCTGTCGCGGGGATTCAAACCGCCAACCTTCTGATCGGCAAGTCCTACGCTCTGTGGTTTAACCCACAGCGCCACCCGCGTCCCCAGTATGGTAGCCATCTTCAAATACCTGAAGGGATGTCCCATGGAAGATGGAGCAAGCTTGTTTTCTGCTGCTCTAGAGCATGGGTAGGCAAACTAAGGCCCCGGGGCCGGATCCGGCCCAATCGCCTTCTAAATCCGGCCCACGGACGGTCCAGGAATCAGTGTGTTTTTACATGAGTAGAATGTGCACTTTTATTTAAAATGCATCTCTGGGTTATTTGTGGGGCATAGAAATTCGTTCATTTTTTCTTTTTCAAAATATAGTCCGACCCCCCCCCCACAAGGTCTGAGGGACAGTGGACCGTCCCACAGCTGCAAAAGGTTGCTGACCCCCTGCTCTAGAGAGTGGGAACTGAACCAATAGATCCAAATTGCAAGAAAGAGATCCACTGATGAAGGGTGGTGCATAAATAAATAAGAAAAGGAGATTTCGCCTAAATTTTAGGAAGATCGTCTGACAGTAAGAGCTGTTTGACAGTGGAACAGATTTCCTCAGAAGCTGTTGGGCTTTCCTTCCTTGGAGGTTTTTTACACAGGATGAATAGTCGTCTTTGAGGAATTCTTTAGTTGTGATTCCTGCATTGCAGGGAGTTGGACTGTATGAACTTTGAGATCCTTTCCAACTCTAAAATTCTATAACAGCAAGGCACTTGGTCCAGATTGTAAAAAGACTGGGGGAAAGCTACCCTGATTCTCTCGATACCCAACACAGTGTTTCCCAAACTTTTGATACCTAGGTAATGCTGAGGTATAAATGAATGATATGGGAATCACCCGTATATAAGAATATATGTGGGGAACAGCATCTGTGTCATGGCTGAGACAGGAAATGACCTGGAACAAACATTTATGCATTTTTCTCTTCCAGCAAGATGAAAGGAATGTGGAAACCTCCTCAAGCTGTGGCTTCTCGGCAACGAGGAAAAGAAAGAAGGCAGACAAATGGCTGCTGGAACAAATCTAATCATCCCTTGAAGGCTCCCGCTGCAGCTGTGACTGGTCCAAATAACCATGGGACCGAGAAGGAATTTGGAAAAGAGCTTTCTGGAGAAGCAGATACCTCTATGAGAGATGTAGATCCCCTTAGCATTCTGGCCAGAAACGATCCTGGTGAGGCATTTCCCTGAGTTTTGTTTCTTCACGCAATTAAATGTTCAACAGAAAGCAGTAAGAGAACTGCCCTTAGACAAATGTAGGTGTGAGGGTTGTGGAGAAGTGACTCCACGCCCCCCCCCCCAAACCTGCCAAGTGAATAACTTGTTTTTGTTGAGGGACTTCGCTAAACAGAAGTCAAGCCCAGTTTCCCTCAGCCAGCATAAGGCCCCTACTGCCCTCCTCAGGGTTGTAATTAGTCAAATTAGTGAGTTGGCCCTGGTGCTACTGATGATCATGGAGAGATAAATAAGGTTTATTTACATACCCCCTTTTTTGCAATAACTGCACTCAGTGGGTTTACCCAATCCACTGGTTCCCCAAAACTGCTCCGAGCAGGATTCTGGAGCAGTTGCCACCACTTGTGAAGTTTTTAGGGTTGATATTAGCCTTTTTCAACTTGCCAGTTCCCTGGCCACTAGCCAGGAGGATCCTGAAGAGGTTTTTAGTAAGTTCTGTTTTATCTGCTCCTCTAAAGCACACAGGAAGAAGAGAGGGCCATGCAGGACTGGTTCATCTCTGACTCTGGATGCAGAAAAGGCCTAACTTTGGCAGAGACCACTAGAGGGTGGCTTCATGGGCCGGATTGGGGCCTCAGATTTGCATCTGGTTGCTCATTGCCAATCACTTTTGTTGTTGGCTTTTCTGTCTCCAGTACTGAGCTTAAAGCTGAAGTATTTGGGGCCAAAGCCCATTCTGCTAAGTCTTCCTTCAGGTAAATAGTCCACGTTCTCTAGGGGATGCCACTTCCAGAGAGCTTCTCATCTGTTTACACAGATACCACCCATGGGGGTAAAAGGAATCTCTCTTGGTGTTGCGTAATTGTTCAAATCTCCTGCCAACCTAGCAGTTTGAAAGCACGACAAAGTACAAGTAGATAAAGAGGTACTGCTCCGGCGGGAAGGTAAACGGCGTTTCCGTGCGCTGCTCTGGTTTGCCAGAAGCGGCTTAGTCATGCTGGCCACATGACCCGGAAGCTGTACGCCGGCTCCCTAGGCCAATAAAGCGAGATGAGCGCCACAACCCCAGAGTCAGCCACGACTGGACCTAATGGTCAGGGGTCTCTTTACCTTTAATTGTTCAAATATTTTTGTCTCACAACTGAAGAGCAGTATTTTACCATTTAGTTACTCTTTATCAGAGTGTGATTTATTGCTGGAAAAAACTAGGTATATATGAGGTGCTGACAGCACACAGGTTTGCTCATCCCCAGCACTACTGAAAACATCTGCAGCCAAAACTATGCTGAGCATTACAGTCGGTCATCTGCTTGCATTGAATAAATGTATTTAATTTGCATGTTTAATTTAGAATTGGCTGTATCAAGTTTTTCAGAACCCTTTATTGTTGCAGTGTGGATGGGTACACATCTGTGAATAGGGCAGAAAGTTTCTGTGGTGGACGTGAGGGAGTAGCTATACGGGGCACAGAGGGTCAGTTCGGTGAAGCCTGGAGCTGGCTGTAGGCCCTGCTGACAGATAATGATGCGGTTTTTCTGCCTCCTTCCAGATTCAGACAAAGAGGGGTGCACTGAGAAAAATGCAGCTTTGGCGATGACTGTTGTTCCAAAGCAGGTGACCTCAGCTCTGAGCTCACTAGTGGCCAACTATGGCAGCATGTCGGAAAGTGAGAGTGAACAAGAGGGTAAGCTGTTTAATTTAAGCTAAGCTGAACTATGTATATACAGTTAGCAGTAAAGGTGCAGTTATGGAATATGTGGCTCGTTAGTGATGCCCTGCTATTTATAGGGCTGGTAGGTGACTAAATGAACAGAGGCTATTGCATTAATGCTCTAAATCAGGGTTTCCCAAACTTGGGTCTCCAGCTGACTTTGGACCACAACTCCCATCATCCCTAGCTAGCAGGACCAGTGGTCGAGGATTATTGGGGTTGTATTCCAAAAGCAGCTGGAGACCCAAGTTTGGGAAACCCTTTTCTTAAATCATAAGTGTGCTGTGGTTTAAGTGATACAGACATACTATTTGTGCACAGTGCTCTTAACATTCCATATCATTTCTTAAGTAATTTCAGTTTGAATCTGTCTTGTGCAGTAATCAGTTGCCTGACCCAATCAGTGCTTTCAGCACTACTTATTTTACCGCTTGTTCTTTTTTAAAAATAGAACCAATCAAGACCGCAGCAAAAGTGTTTCATGAAAACAAGACATCTCTCAGAAGTGTCCCTCCACTTTCAAGCATCTCCCAGAGCTTTAAAGACACAGGCCATAAAGAAGCTGCTAATTATGTAGACGCAGCACCGGGGAGGCCGGATTCACATGCAGTACATTCCAGGAGTCTGAACAGACAGAGGAAATCACTTTCTGAATTACCACGCCGTCATCCAACTCTGCTGGAAATGGTAAATTGCCCTTCCAGTATTTTCTGCTTAGTAAATAGAATATTGTGGGTTCATGATTGTAGGCTGGTGCTTTCAAGAGGTTAGGTAGCCTTGTCAGGTACTGCAGGCTTAGACAAGGCAAAATAAAGTGCTGCTTGATCACCTGTTGTGTTTGTTCCAAAACAGTGAAAAAGATATGCATGGAGATCTTCTCTTCTGCTGGCAATGCCAAACAAGCTTCCCAATACCTTCTATCCATCATATCCTAAATCCATCTAAACTTAATATGTGAGAAAAAATTGGCTTGCCATTAAATGAGAAGTGCAGTTAGGCTATCTAAGAGATGGAATAAGACAATTGAATTAATACTGGAGGAAGAAGCAGACAGGTCACTGGGTTAGTCTGTTGCATCAAAAACAAAGAGTCCTGTAACCCTTTAAAGACAAATAACTAAAAAACATCAGTATGTTAAAATATTTACTGCTTTAAGCATAGATTCGTCATTTGTAGGGTCCTTGAATGTGAGGACATGGATATATTTCTTCCCATTGTGTTCTCTGTCAGTTGCAACCATGTGTCCATAGTGAGTTCCGTACTAATTCTGGCCACACAGTTTATCCCCTTCAGTTAAGCATTAGCTGACCAAAGCCATCTCCACTTGTTACAGGAGAGTGAGTAAACAAAGGTCTGAGTTGGTAACTGTCATATTCAATAGTAGTTGGTGAATGTTCTTTCATTGTGAAATTATGTTCTTTTAATTTAAGATTTTATTGACTTATACAAAAAAAAGTACAATTAGGGGATGTATATCAAAGAATATTTGTTTTGTCACATTATAGCACTCAATTACTATTAACAGTGGAATGAGATCAATAGAGTATTATTTTTTTTCTAAATCAGTTATGAGGTCCACATTTCATTCATTGTTACAGGCAAAGAACTTTGCAAATCATTTGCAGTAACATCAGGGATAAATTCCTGGTGTAGGAATGTTCTGGGTTATGTGTTATTTTCTCAGTGCTCCAGATTCCAGGTATTATTGTACCTAAAAGGAAATTGTAAATCATAATTGCAGCATCATTTGAATAGCAGTCTCAATAATCCTAGCCATCTCCTAATATACCTCAGTCCAAAAATTTTGAACAAATGGACACTCCCGCCATAAATGGATGTATGTCACCCTGGCACCAAATCTGTGCCAGCAATCAAATGCCAACCCTGAAGTCATGTGAGATAATTGTACTGGTGTGCAGTGTTGCTTGTGTAATATCTTCACATAGGTAAACACCAGTTTGTATGGTTTAGATAGAAGACGTAAGTTTTTCCATTAATTTCATTCGTATCAATGCCTATATCACGCTCCCATAGAGTTTAAGGCCTGCAAGAACTCAATTATATCATTGTGGTATTATCTGAATACTGGTTTCTGTATTTCAGGAAGGTTCAGCAGTCGGCTTCAATAATAAAAAGTTATATACTAGTTAAGCAGGCTAAACCAAAAAAGAAAACACTGAAGCTGAAAGCATCTCTCTCCTTTTCTGTACACCCTGTGTCCAATGCTTGAGCACCGCACCTCTTTTTCTGCAAGGAGGGTTGCCTTCTCAGTGTTTCTTCTGCTCAGTGTTTTTCTTTGGTTTCTTCGCAGTGTTTTTATTGGTTTGTTGCAGGGTGGGGCGTATTCTGAGCATTGGCAGTTTTTATTCTATGTATTTATTGCGTCTATATTTCACCTTTTCCTCCAAGAAGCTCAAAGGGTGCACATGGTTATCCAATTCCCTGATTTATTCTCACAACAACCTCACAATGGCGAGGTAGATTAGGCTAAGAGATGGTGACCCAGTGAGCTTCATGGCTGGGTGGGGATTAGAACTCTGGTCTCCCCGGTCATAATCCAGCACTAACCACTACATCAGGGTAGGCACCCTAACGCCCGGGGGCTGGATGCGGCCCAAAGGCCTTCTCAGTCCGGCCCGCGGACGGTCCGGGAATCATTGTGTTTTTACATGAGTAGAATGTGTCCTTTTATTTAAAATGCATCTCTAGGTTATTTGTGGGGCCTGCCTGGTGTTTTTACATAATTAGAACATGTGCTTTTATTTAAAATGCATCTCTGGGTTATTTGTGGGGCATAGGAATTTGTTCTTTTTTTCCCCCTTCAAAATATAGTCCGGCCCACCACATGTTCTGAGGGACAGTGGACCGGCCCACAGCTGAAAAAGGTTGCTGACCCCTGGACTACACCAGACCTCATATTACATGGTGCCCATCACATTTCCTTAGCTTTCATGTGTACCTCTGAGTGGGATGCAGGTGGCGCTGTGGTCTAAACCACTGAGCTTCTTGGGCTTGCTGGTCAGAGGGTTGGAGGTTCAAATCCCCAACGGTGAGCTCCCGTTGCTCTGTCCTAGCAGTTCGAAAGCACACCAGTTCAAGTAGATAAATAGGTAACGCTGTGGCAGGAAGGTAAACAGCGTTTCGGTGCGCTTTGGTTTCAGTCACTGTGTTCCGTTGTTCCAGAAGCAGTTTAGTCCTGCTGGCCACGACTCGGAAAGCTGTCTGTGGACAAATGCCGGCTCCCTTGCCCTGAAAGCGAGATGAGCGCCACAACCCCATAGTTGCCTTTGACTGGATTTAACCATCCAGGAGTCCTTTACCTTTATCTTTGAGCCCAAAAGGTTTGGGGGGCCCTCACATATCCTAAAATAGAAAGATGCCTTCTATGGCTGAGATGGTTCAGTTGGTAGAGCATAAGACTCTTAAGCTCAAGGTCATGGGTTCAAGCGCATTGGGGAAAAATTCCTGCATTGCAGGGGGTTTGACTAGATGACCCTTGTGGTCCCATCCAGCTCTGCAGTTATATTATATCCATTTTTATAAGTTTACTTGTGTTGCTTTGGGCTAAGGAAAACCAGCTATAGGGCCTGTTTCAGTGTCTGGCCTGCAGTGGGTGCAGAAGTGAGAATATTTGCCACGTTAGGTATTCCCCAGTTTCAGTTTGGACCTTGCAGTGGCTGCAAAGCAAATAAATATTTTAAATAAATACGTGTCCCTCTTCATGGGGGTGACTTCCTTAGGAAGATGCTATCTTACTGGGATGGTTCTTGAGCTCCAAAGTCATTATAAAACTCCATTAGTTTTATAATATTTTCGCAAGCAGGTAAATTATTTCTCTAGTTCATCACAGTTTCATAGTTGAGTCTCAAGTCCCACAATAAATGGGGGGGGGGGGCATCCGATCATAGTGATTAATCCATAGTTCCAGTTTTTATAAAATGTCTGAGGTATATCCTTCTGCCTGGATTTTAGCAGAGACAAGAAACCAAATATATATTGGAAACCCATTTGCTGATTACTCCATAATTGTATCGCTGTGTAAGCAGTTCTGTTTGCATAGAATGTTTGTAGGAATATGCCTCATTCTCTCTTTCTCCTTCTAGCTATTAGCAAAGGACATACGGCATGAAAGGAATGTGATTCTGCAGTGCATTCGCTATATTCTCCAAAATGATATCTTTGGACTCTACTCACAGACTGATTCAAGAGCATGCATGGAGACTGGACAGACTTCTCAAGATACGAAAGGCAGGCAAACTGAATCTAACATCTCTCATAGTTTTGACAATAAATTAGCAGAGCAGAATGAATTACTTGTAGGTCAAAGTAAAGAGGCATCTGTATCCTGCACAGCACAAACTTACGCTGTTGATGAGGAGATTTGGGAAACCACAGAAATACACTGTAAAGAAAACGAACTTGATAGTTCTGCATAACCAGACCTATTTCGGGATTCTTTCTGAAAGTCAGCAAATTATATAGGAGCTCAAAATATTTTGACAGAACTAAATCAGCCCTTCTAATGTAAACCTGCATCGACATCCATCCTGTTACTATTTTGATCTTGTAGATTTTTACCCCTTGAGGGTTTTATTTTTATGCCTGAGGAGTTTAAATGGACATTAACCGCATTAAATCAATATTCATGTGATTTCTATTATAGACATGACAGCAACATTCATTGTTGTTGCCCTATGGTCTCAGGCACTTTTCTCCCTCCACAAAGTGTAACAGCCATGGAGACAGATTGTGGGAAGGGAAGGCAGGAAGAGGGTTTGGCTTTCCTCCCCTCTGTGCTCTTTCGATGTTAATATTAGACATGCCCCCATCTCATCCTCCCATTTTATACATGAACGTGATACTCATGAAATGTGGCTGCCACTATTGTGCCCAATGTGGCCCCTAGAGTATCTTAATTTCTGAAGTATCAGAAAGATGGAACATTAAAAATTAGCCTTGCAAATATTTATCCAAACTTAACACTAGTTTCGTTGTCTTGAGCAGCAGACTGAAGGACACGTTATCTCCCTACCTGCCTCTGACCAGTTTGGATTGTTTTATTTTTATTACAGTTGTCCCCAGCAATGTGGTACAATTTGAAAAAGCTTTATATTTTTAATTATTAGTGGAGCAATATGCATCAAGTTGCTTGGATTAAAAGTATGTTTTTTACAAAAATATGTACTGTATTCCTTCCCACGCTCCCACTTTTGTCCTACAAATGTAATACATTAACACTTAATAAACTGTTGGTGCGGAAATTGACCACTTGGTATTGGAAAAGCAGACACTTTATATTGGATTTTAAATAATACATTGAAATTGTGTGCAATGGCAGTGACTCACTCTCTATTTGTCCTAGTTTGATTTGGAAATTTGGTTTTCCTTTCGGTTAAGGCAGTCCATGATACAGTAGAGCCACTACGAGGCGTTGGGATGGCATAGTGAAAAACGCTGGGTTATTTTTGACATGTGAATTAATGTGGAAGAAAGGTGTACTCTCAAAAAGAAGTGGAAGTAATTCTCCATTGCACTGCAAAATTAGTCTAAAAGTAGCAGGAATAAACTTAGAAATTGTGCACATTTCCACTGCATTTCTTTAAAATCTTTATCCAGATGGTTCATCGTCAGCAGTGCTACAGGAACCAAGAGGATCAAAAATTAAGAAGACTAGCAGGCCAAAGGTCTGCTGAAATAAAATGACTAGCCCACAAACATGCATTTCTCATTCACACATACTCGTGGGTGCCAAAAAGATTTTCTGGCCCCAGCACACTGCTTATGAATTTGACCTCCTGACACACAAAGAAAAGATCTATAGAAAAGTTACATATGTTTTGTGGCATATGCATATTTGTGTCCAGGTGGGAATGGAGGGTGCAAAAATAAATCAGGGACTGCACATGTAATAAAATGTCTGCAGACAATGTGAACCAGTGAAGTTTTTTGCATAATTGAATTTACATACTAGAAAAGGCTTAACCTGTAGAATTTCTACCATATAGCTGTTAAAGAGACAAGAACCCAGTTTTCCCCCAATACCAACACCCAAAGCCTAGGCTACTGTCCTGTGTACCCACTTACCTGGGAGTAAAGCCCTATTAAATACAAAGAAATGTATGAGTAGACATGTATACCATGGTACTAAAAGGTACAATGAATTTTAAACGAGTTGCTTTAGGTCTTGCACAGATTTGCTTAAGCCCTTTGGAAGGTTTTCACAATTTGCATTTAGCATCCACCCACATTTATTGTGGAATAGTGTTTGAAGAAAATAACTGATCTCAAATGAACCCACCACAAGAAAAATGCATCCTGGTTGCTGGGGGAAAGGGGAAATTTACAGAGAAGATTAGGTCTGCAACAGGAAATGTGCATTAAAGGAGAAAGGAAAACACCAAGTCTTTAGGACCCCAGGGCTTCCAATGGTCTGGAATCCAAGAACTCACATCTGTCACAGTTACGACTTCATTCACTGGCTGGTGGGAGCAACCAGGCTGGTTCATTTCACAGAAATCACTTGGAAAGTTACCTGTACATTTTGCTTCATAATGTTCTTCCTAGAAGAGCTCAAGACTTTAAAGGATTTTTTAACGAAATCTCAAGTCTGGGACCCTGCCTGGTGACAGAATTCTTCCTATTATGTTTGACATCACGGTTGGAGTCACAGTACTGTACTCTTTGATTTCCAGCTATATACAGGATAATAAGGCTAGGTGCAAAATTGTTCCCACATCCACCTATTGTGCCAGGGTCAAGCTTGTTTCAGCCAAGCAGAATTCACAATTAAGATGCAATACAAAAATCTGCTTTGGTTAAACCAGGAAGTTTTCTTCTTGTGGCCATGTCAGAAGGGATGGAAAACACAATAGTCCAAGAACCATGGTTTAAAGCATTATATCCTCAACTAGGGTTGGCCTATGGAAGTGAGAGCTGGACCATAAAGAAGGCTGATCGCCGAAAAATTGGTGCTTTTGAATTATGGTGTTGGAGGAGACTCTTGAGAGTCCCATGGACTGCAAGAAGATCAAACCTCTCCATTCTGAAGGAAATCAGCCCTGAGTGCTCACTGGAAGGACAGATCGTGAAGCTGAGGCTCCAATACTTTGGCCACCTCATGAGAAGAGAAGACTCTCTGGAAAAGACCCTGATGATGGGAAAGGTGGAGGGCACAGGAGAAGGGGGACGACAGAGGACGAGATGGTTGGATAGTGTTCTCGAAGCTACCAGCATGAGTTTGACCAAACTGCGGGAGGCAGTGGAAGACAGGAGTGCCTGGCGTGCTCTGGTCCATGGGGTCACGAAGAGTCGGACACGACTAAACGGCTAAACAACAAGGGTTGGCCTACCCCGAAGTCATGAGTTTCCATACCCAGAGTTTGTTGACAAACCATGTGAGTTTATGTTAGCACATGAGTTTATGTTGTTGCAGAGAAAATGGAGAATCTCTGAAGCTGGAATGGCCAGGCATGCAGTTAATAGGTCTTTTTTCACAGCTGCTGAGTGCAGTCACTGATCCTGCCAGTTTCCCCCTCACCTTTGATGGCATTTGGTGAGCTTTGTATGCTAGGCTGCTACAGGGTGGTCTCTTGGTCTAATTGCACTCGCTAAGCTCTTGTGTTCATGGACACTTAAAAACATAGCAGGAGTAATTATCATCAAAGCAGCAAAAACTAAGATTATGAGCCAAAGCCAACAAATCTTTGATTTCCTCAAACTCAGCCTTTTAAGTAGGGTAAGTGTGTAAAATAAGGAGATTAGCTGCAAATGTTTCTGTACTGAGACACTTTGGCCTCTCTGCAAGATCTCTCCTACATTTGTCTGCTTCACTGCTTTTCTGTGGAATGAGAGGACAAATTTGTTGGTTCAGGAAAATAGGTATAAAATATAGAAAGAATTGCTGGATGCCAAGATCCAAGTTTGGGGCAAATACTCTTGGGTGAGAAAAACCCGGCAGAGGTTTTAAATCACAAAACATGCAGCAAATTTAAGTGTGGAAATGTAGGGTGTTAGACCTTTAAGGAAAGGCCACCAATTTGGTATGTTAGCAGGTGCCATTTTACAAACACTTCAGCAATCGGGTTCATATGCTCTTCCATACATCCGTCAGATGTATAACTTGGCTTAATCAGGTAGGTAGCCGTGTTGGTCTGACGCGGTCAAAATAAATATAAAAACTAAAAAAAAAAAAATTGTGTGCACATGCACACAAAAGCTTAAACCCAGAACAAACTTAGGTGCTACTGGATTTTTTTTAATAAAAAATTATTTATTTATTTTGGCTTAGTCAGAAAGTGGCAAAAGTTCCCAGATTATTGGTACATGCTACTTTTTCCTGGTTGGGTTTAATGTGGCATAGTATGCAAAAACCAACCCGGGGGAATTTTTATTTCAAGCATGGAAGTATACAGAAGAACAGAACTTCACTTGCAGAAGGTATAGAAGTAAGGCAGATTTTAAAGGTGCAGGAGATTCTGGGAGTGTTTTCAGGCTGTGTTCCGTCTGGTGAAGCGCTTGGCATATTCGGCCCGAATGAACGTGCAGACTGAATGTGGTGCTTTACATTACTAGGGCACTTCTGCTCGTTTTCTACGGGGAGAGGGTCACCCCCACCAAGAACTGCGAGTCAGGCCCTCCGCGAAGGGGCGTGGGGCGTTTTCCGAGTCCCCGCGCCGCCCGAAAGCCCGCCTTGGTCTTGACACGCGTCTAAACCTCCCCGTTCCGACGGCCAGCCAGACGCAAGGGGCGAAGCAGCAGCAGCAGCAGCCGCTCCGAACCGCCTGGCGAAAAGGGCGCCCCTCCTGAGGCAAAACGCACCGGTCGCCAAGCGGGGGGACGGCGGGACGGCAGGCGGTCGCCTGAGGAGAAAACTGCGGAACGCCAGGCCGACGCCCCCGCCATCTTGTCGGGCCGAGCTGGCGGCCTCCGTCTTGCGGGTCTGCCCTGGCGGCCGCCTCGGCAACCTCCGTCCGCCAGAGCCGTAACTCCCCGGCTCTTCTTCTTCTCCTCCTCCTCCCTCCCGCCCTCCGTGCCGGCGAGCCCTTTATGTCTGCGCGCTGCCTGCGGTTGCGCCTGCGCCGCCGCCAGCGCCATCTTTCTCCCCCCCTCATCTCCCCTCCCTTGGACGGAGCCAGAGAGGGAAGCCGGAGGAGGAGGAGGAGGAGGAGGAGGGAGAGCGAGCGAGCGCGCGGCGGCGGCGGCGGCGTCTCGCCCGCGAAGCTTCCCGGCTCCTTCCGCGGAGGGAGAGGCGTCGGAGGAGCGGCTGCTGCTGCTGCTGCCCGGGCTGCGTCAGCTTCCCCGCCTCCCCCTCCGCCTCGCCATCCTGGATGGGGAAGCGCCCGGCGCCCGACGGCCCCGCCGGGACTGCGCGCACGAGCCTCGCCGCCGTTCCGGAGCCGGCTGCTGCTGCTGCTGCTGCGTCGTCGGCGAACCCTGCTCCCTTTCGCCGGGAGGATTGGCGAGGCCGGCAGCCGCGGGGGCTTTCTGATCTGGTCGGGGGCGGCGAAGGGGCCGGGGCCTGAGTGTCACATTGGCCGGCAGCGCCTCTTGTGTGTCTGCCTGCCTGTCTCCTCTCCCTTTCTGTCTGGGCTCCTCCGCCAGCTGCCAGGTGCGCCTGCTCCGCCTGCGCGCTCCCTTTCCCCTCCTCGCTCTCCGTCCGGGGCTCCTTAAAATAGTGCTCGTTCAATGCACCAGCCTGACTCAGCGGCAGACACCAGCGTCGGGAAGATGGCGCACCCGGCGATGCTTCCTCGGAGGGGCAGCAGCAGCGGCGGAGGAGGCGGCAGCAGCAGCAGCAGCAGCGTCGCGGTGCCGGCCTTGTGTCCAGCAGGCATCGGCGTCGGAGGCAGCAGCGGCGGCGGCTTGGAAGATTACTCGCCGCCCTTGCTCGTTCAGCCGCCGCCGCCGCCTCCCTCCTCCGCAGCGCCGTCGTCTTCTCCCGGGCTGCCTCCTCCGCAGAGCCTGACCCTCCTCTCGACGCCGCAGCCCCTCGGCCAGGCAGGGGCCCAGATGAAGAAGAAAAGCGGCTTCCAGATCACCAGCGTGACCCCCGCCCAGATCTCGGCCAGCCTCAGCTCCAACAACAGCATCGCCGAGGACACGGAGAGCTACGACGACCTGGACGAGTCGCACACCGAGGACTTGTCCTCTTCCGAGATCCTGGACGTCTCCTTGTCCAGGGCCACGGACTTGGGGGAACCGGAGCGGAGCTCCTCGGAAGAGACTCTGAACAACTTCCAGGAGGCCGAGAGCCCCGGCGCTGTCTCCCCCAACCAGCCTCGCCTTCTGCAGCAGCAGCAGCAGCAGCACCCCTCTTTGCCACATCCCTCTCAGCATCAGAGTGTGGCCATCAATGGCAGCATGCACCCTTCTCAGGGACATCATTATCACCACCATCACCATGGACATCACCATGCGCCACACTCCGGGATGGTCGGCCCAGCGGCTCCCGGAGGACCGCCGTTTAGCCCTTCGTTTAGAAAACTGTCTACCGCTGCGAGCTCGGATAGCGTTGTGGCAGCTGCCGTGCCCGTTTCTGCTGCATCATCTGCTGGTATGCCTGTGGCCGCTCTTGTGTCTCATTTCCACGCTGCTGGTACACCTGGGGTCACTTCAGCCGGCGGAGCTACGGCCAGCACTTTAAGCAGCGAGACTAGTGGTAGCTCCAGTGGGCTGAGCAGCATGCCTGGTCCCGTTAATGTGAATCTAAGTAACTTCACAAGTACTGGTAGCATAACTAGTGGCAGTGTTAATGTGGCGGTCTCGAGTGGGCTTGGCAATGGCACGAGTACTTCCTCTAGCGCTGGGAATTCCAGTGCAGGAGGAGTTGCTGCAGCAGCAGCAGCAGGAACATATAGTCAACTGCAGCCTGCAGCCAGCACCTCGAGGTTTAGAGTTGTGAAACTGGATTCTAGTTCAGAACCTTTCAAGAAGGGTAGATGGACATGCACAGAGTTCTACGACAAAGAGAACCTCGTGCCAGTTGCAGAAGGAGTAGCTGTAAATAAAGCGTTAGACACTCTCAAACAAAATTCACTTGACGTGACTTCTGAAAGGGAGAGCACCAGTGGGAGCTCAGTTAGTAGCAACGTAAGCACACTGAGTCACTATACTGAAAGTGTGGGAAGTGGGGAGATGGGAGCACCAGCGGTGGCACAGCCGCCACCATTTCAAGCAGCAGGTTCTCAGCAGTTGGATTTTGGCAGCACCGGCCCTCAACCTGCTCCAGCACCCAGCATACCCCAGAGTGTTTCTCAGCCACAGCTTGCACAGCCACAGCTTCATCCTCAAGATGTAAATTATCCTCCTCAAAAGCAAGGGGTCCAGCCTCCTGCATCAGCTGTCCCTCCTCCAGTAAATATAGTAGGTGGCCATCAACAGCCTGCCATGGCACAGCAGCTGCCATACACCCAATCAACGCAGCCTGTGCCACCTGTTCCGGTTGTGCCACAACTGCACCAATTGCCATATGGGCAAGGACAGGCACAGCATCCACCACCACAGCAGCAGCAGCAGCAGCAGCAGGTACCTCTGCAGATGGCCCCAGGGCATGTTAAACCAGTGAATCAGAATTCTGTCACAGGGCCTATGCCAGATTACGTACAACAGCAGCAGATGCTTCAGACTCCAGCTTCTATGCAGCCAGGACCTACAATGGTAGGAACGGCTATGCCTGCGCCTGTTGCTCAGGCACCAAGTATGCAGCCTTCTGTACAAGCACACCTGGCAGTAGCATCCTCTCAGCCTGCTGCACATGCTCAGACAGCAATGCTGACCTCCGGAGCTGGTGCTCAAACAGTGAATGTTGGACAACAAGGAAGTGTACCCCCAATGGTGCAGCAGCCAGCAGTTGCAAATCCAATTGCTCCTTCGGTGGTGGCACAGAGCGCTCCTCCTCCATCTTCCCATGTGGTGCCCCCTGTTCCAGCAGGCGTCGTTCATCCTGGGTTGCAAGGTAGCACATCAAGCCTTCCTCAGCCCTTGGTTATTGTTCCACAGAGTACTTTGTTACCTGTGCAAGCAGCAGAATCCCTCGTTCCAGGAATGGCTGGTCAACAATTGCCTGCTGTTAGTCCTGTACCTTCTGCCAGTGCTGCTTCTGTCCCAGGCCAGTCTGCTGCAAACGTGTTGCCCACACCTATGAGTTTGCCTCCTTCAAAGAACATAGCACAATCATCATCAGGTGCGCAAAATGGGAACTTGGTCCAAAATGTGTCTACTAGCATCAATTTGCCCGCAGTCCAAAATGTGCCACAACAGGTACCACTGAACTCTGCTCAGTTTTCTGCCCAGTCTCTTGTTCAGTCAATTACAACCCGAAGTGAAGATTCCAAACGCTCTACGGAACCCACCTTGGTTGGCCTGCCCCAAACCACCAGTGGAGAAAGTGGCGCTGGAGCATCATCAGCCATGTCAGATGGAGCCAGCAGCACTGCCGCCTCTCTTTTCCCCCTGAAGGCACTTCCGCTGACAGTGCAACTTGTTGATGGTGAGGATGAGAGGTAAGATCATGTCAAGTAAATATGTTGTGATAGCTTGTTGTAAACTGCACAGACCTTATTGACCCGTTCCCAACCAGATACGGGCTTTGTAAAGAGCTTTAGTAACTGATGTTAGCACAAACTGTGTTTGTTCATTCTGGTGCTTTTGTTAGTTGTGCTATGAATCCTTAGCAGTAGTGCCAAAAGGACGAACATGGGAGACTTGAGGCAGGGAAAGTAACTTCAAGCTAGGAAGACTCCCAGAATCGTAGTTCATTGTCATTGTCTCTTTGTAGGAGTTAGGGTCTCCTTATTGTCTCTTTACGCTACTTCATCTAGAAAGTGCATTGATTTCAAGAACACAAGGGAAATATAATCATTAGCATAATCAGCAAGGTTTGGATCCAAGCTAAGGCTACTGCAATCTCTTAACTTACATTTAGATAAGCCTGAATGCATTCAAAGAAGCTGTCGAAGCATTTACTTTCCAAACACTTTCACTTACAAGTTTTCTTATTTCTTTGGCTCAGAATCGCTTCCGGTTTCTCCTGTGTATGGAATGAGATATTGCAGATGTTCATCACAGCCCAGACACTTCCAGTGATAAGGGGGGGGGGGGAGCAGGGGACAGAAGGGGTTGGGGGATGAAATGAGGGGAAAGTTACCGTATTTTTCGCTCTATAACACGCACCTGACCATAACACGCACGTAGTTTTTAGAGGAGGAAAATCCGTAGGCATGCCACCCGTAGGCATTCCCTCCATAACACGCACAGACATTTCCTCTTACTTTTTAGGAGGAAAAAAGTGAGTGTTATGGTGCAAAAAATACGGTACTTCATGAATTATGTCCTAATACATGGAGGTATTCTTTTCCGTTATGCTCCCTACTTCCGTTTTGTAACTTCAATGTATATATTTTAAGGTGGTGCTCATTGCTTTTCTTTTACAGAGAAACCAGTTGCTACATAAGGTTTGAAACGTTTTGAAAGGGTTGTTGTGCTTGACATACAAATGGTGTGGTGCTGGTATCACTCTGTGTTGGAGCAATCTTGCTATTGCATTACACGTTTCATTAATCATTTGACTTCAATAGATGATTCTAGACTTCTTCTTTACAGCCATCATGGTGCTAGTTAAAAACTACCAGTGATGAAAAGCTGTCAGTACAATCAGGTTCATGGTGTTGGCAAAGGGTTTTTCAGGTGGTAGGTCATGAGTCCCCAACCTTTCTGGGCCCAGGGGCACATTTGGAAGTCTAAGAAGCCGTCTTGAGCACCACATAGTAAAAGCTGGTGATGCTCCAAAACAGGCAAAACACACAACCAAAGAAAAGGCAAAGCACCTCCTTCAGACAAACTGAAGCTGACAAAACGCGCAGTTTCAAAAATAAAACATCTAGTGCAAAAGACCCACCAGTTGCTTCACTGTCTCCCAAGTTCGCTAGACAATAGTGCGCTGGGAGGGTGGGTGCGTGGGATCTCTTTTGCTTTTCTAAAGCGTTTCAGAGGGGATCATGCAAGGCCTCCAGCTGCCCCCCAACCTCGTCCTCTCCTTTCCAGTGTTGAATGTATTGGGATCAGAGGAAGGTGGGGGAAAGAGGGTCAAGTGACTG